TTGTTTTTTTAACAGTAATTTTTCAGATCAAATAACAGTTATTAGATATAGATATTATTACGTGGATATTTTAATAAGTAATCCCAAAAATATGTCAATTTTAAAAAAGTGTTTCCAAACCTTTGTAATGTAGGACCTGGAGTGTATATGTGATCATGGCGATCGTGGTATAGAGAGTTGTGTGGTTGCTCTCTGTGCTAAAGATCCGGATTCAAATTCATCCAGAACATATCAGATTTTTATTTGATCGTCACCTCTCGGAAGGCAATGGCAAATCACCGAGAGTATCTTTGCCATAACAACCTCTTCTAAGGTCATTCAAATACAACGTTAAAAATTTATAAGCCCCATATATCGGAAGATATATGCACAAGAAGTCATCACGTCTCTAATCAACTTCTTCTTCTTCTTCTTCAAAATTAATGACACTCGCCGCCAAAATGATGGCAATTCCGACCAGAATCGTAAATAAATTGTGAAAACTAGTGAATGGGACGAAATAATGATGTAATCAAGACAAAAAGTGTATTGCAATGCACAATCGAAGCCGGAAACGCTTTTCAAAAAATGAGTGAGATGATGCAACACCCAAAGCGAGGCGAGACGCACGTCCCGCTCGAGTGAACCCACAAGACTGGTCTCTAATCAACACCTGAGAATTATATGAGACATATAAAATAAATGTATACGTACATATCTAAGAGGCATAAAGGTTGATGAAGTCGGAGATCTATTCTCCGAACTTCTAGTGGGTGTGTTTGCTTCTGGTATAGCAGACAATCTTGATACATTAATATTTTGCATATTAATCCGACTTAAATTTATCGTAGGCTTAGTAATAGTATGCCCACCCACCATAGGTTTTACCACTCCTTTTGCTGGCGATTTTGTTGATAATCTAGCAGATGGTTCTTTACCTGAAATATATTCTTATATGAAGAGAATTTAGATATTAAATGCTTATAATGCAAACAACGTATATATTTAGAAATTAAACTAAGAAATTCTTAGAATTTAACAGTATCATATTCCTCACTTCCAGTTGAAGTAGACAACCTCACAGCAGTATTGGAAGCAACAAGCTCTTGACACATAGAGATAGTATTTGTCATATAACCAGTCATTGTGACTAACATTTTTAATATTTCTTTTGCGTTATTCAGTACATTCGAAATTACAGTCTGAAACAGATAATAGATAATAGATAATCGATTAAATTAAAAACTATAGTATTTATTAGTATTTACTAGTATGTGGATTACAATTTTATTATATGTAAAATATGTCACAGTAAAAGTTAACTTTAGTATTAGGTGTTGGAATTAATTCGTAGCGTTTTTAATGAAAGAATGTTATTTATTTCACATGAGCATTAAAAAATACATTAATGAAAGTACTTCCCATCACTTGTAAAACGCTACGAATTAATTCCAACACCTAATAAATGTATACATTTATTAGTCAATGTACACATTTATGTATAATACAATTAAAGTAAGACTGCAGTAAATATATTTACTGAGTTAACACTTTAATTGCAACATACACACACACACACACACACATACACACACACACACACAAATTTTTAAAAATTGTAATAATCTTGACCTGAATAAATGTTATCAAAGTCATGACCCTGAACAATTCAAAAACCATTGGTTAGATTAGAATTGGTTCTGCAAGTATCGTATTTCACCACATCATGCAAAATTTGATGAAATACAATGTTTGCGAAAGTAATTCATGGAATTTTGCAACTGCAATTGGAGAAATATGAACGGGAGCATTGATTATGATGGAACCAAATTGATTGTTTTATAAACAAAATAAAAAAATTAATAACCACATCTGTCTAAAATTGCAACAGTATCTCTGTGAAGGATTAAACTGTTTAAAATTAGAATAGTTTAATATTTGTGGTGGCATTTCTGTGTCAGGCCGAAAACTTTTCAAACTACCTTTGTGTATATATGTATGTATGTATGTATGTATGTATGTATGTATAGATGTATGTATTTATGTGTATGTATATGTATGTATATACATATATATACATATATATATATATACATACATACATACATACATATACATACATACAAAAGATAACAGAAAGAGATAGTTACATAATGATACTTACATTTCGTGTGTTACATATTAGATTTAACTGCTGAATCTCTCCTACTAGTTCTACATTCTGTGTGAACAATTCTTGGTTGTTCTGTTTTTCCTTAGACAGTGCTTTTGCTAAATGATTATTATTATGCTTCAATTTTTCATATACTAGAAAAAGAAACAATTTTAGCAAAACAATTGCCATATGTTAAAGAAATGAATTGCTATAAAATGCGAATTTTCTTACATGGTCTATAGGATCGTAATTCCTTATAATGTGTCCTCAAGAATTGTGATCTTTTATTAGCCAATACCCCAACTCTCTTAACTTTTCGAATTGGCATTTTCGGCATATTGTATGTATGATTTTATATAATTTCACTAGCTCAATAAATCTACATATAGACAATAGGACTATAATAGGAATATATAGAAATTAAAATAAGGATCCTATTCTGTAACTGTTAACGACAACAATACTCTTACATTATCGTTGCACAGGTATTTGTATTTGGTATAAAAAACTGTGCAATGTAATGATATCGTTATAGTCGTCAATAGTTACAATAGGGTCCTAAATCTTATAAGTTTATTTGGAAAATTCAAATAAATATAAGTTTTATCATTATTAGAGTTGAAAGAAAATTGAATGTTTTAATTAATATATTAAAAATTTTTTCCGATATTCTTTGTTATCTTGCGAAAAATTAGCCCGTGAACAAAACAATCTTTTATTGCTATTTATTAGTGCACCTTAATTTTTGTTCAATATTAATGAAGATACAGGTATGCTTCTCTCTCTCTCTCTCTCTCTCTCTCTCTCTCTCTCTCTCTCTCTCTCCCTTCCTTTCAACAAAATATACCAAACATACCTCACAAAAAACGTACTTCGTAAAGTATCCAGTTTTTCTTGCGTATCTACAAAGCTTGCGTTAAAGATTTTCTTTTTTCACATACGAATAACCAAATAAGAGAATACTCATGACCTTCGTGACGTTCCTATCTGCACTGAATAGTGAACGTTGTAACACATCGGTATTTAAATGATCTCATAAAATAACCTGAGCACACATCAGCACACATGGATCTAATACACATATATTGGCACACATACATATGTTTGTTGGTCGTTGGTATCTTCCATTTTAAATCACAAGTTTGTTCATGGTGGAAGAAGATAGATGAGACAACTTGAGGAATACGCAGTAAGAAATTTAGGACCTAAGGTTATGTTCCAAAACGTTCTCTCCGAAGATTTTACGTTATATGCTATAATGTACATTACGTGTACTATATATATTTCGAGTAAAATTTTCCTCAGAGAAAAAGTTTTAAAACGTAGCCTAAATATGATTCGATTTGATCGGCCGTTGTGTGACAACTAAAGAGATGTGCGGTAAATCGTGGTGTAAAGTTGAAGTGAAACAAATATACGTTTGTTTCACTTTAATTTATTGCTGGTTCAGAGTGCAGCAATAAAGACCTAAAGATAGAACACACCCAAAGAGTACTTTTCAATATTCACTGCCAGTGCTGAAAATCTATAGCGCACGTAACGCATACTATATAGTTTCAGCGCTGATAGTGCACATCGAAATACATCCTTTTGGTCTGTTTTCTGTTCCTGCACTACACTGTTCTAGAACTCTCTTTCTCGCTTTAAACAAATATCAAATGTATATCTATCTCACTTTAAGTTCCAAAAGTGTACACTAGTTCAGCCACAGAAAACAGACCTCTGGTTTCTCGATAATTCGCTCCAGTTCAGTAGAGACCCAATCAGAGTTTGGCTATGAGAACATCCGGCACTTTTTACAAAATTGTGCGAAAAAGATATGTGCTATTTCACTTTCACTCTGTAATACATAGAAGTCTGGACAAGTCAGAGAGGCGACAGGAAATCGTTTGATTGGCTGTTTAACGCGATCACGACGCCATTTTTTTCACATTGACGACGTTCAGCGGACTTATCCGTTTCCACCAATGTAGATTAACTTTAATCTCGGTTCAACTTACTCTTCATCTTTTTCTAGTACTAAAGATTAGAAAAAGATGAAGAATAAGGCCGGAATCAGACTATGTATTGAAGATTGAGATTAAAGATTGAAATTTCACCAATAAGAAGAAACAGAGAAATTTTGGCTCCTTTATTCTGATTGGTCAAACTTCAATCTTATATGCTCGATCTTGTACTTAAGGCTTCCTTAAATTTATTTATAAATGCTCAGTAGCTAATGAAATATTGGGTCATCTAAAAAGTATCCGCGGTTTTTTGTCACTAGATGTGTGTTGATGGTCATATATCTAGTGACAAAGTACCGCGGATACTTTTTAGATGACCCAATAATTCGTAGAGTATCTGAAGATAAATTTAAGAAAGCCTTAAATATAAGGCCTGACTATGAATACGGGTATTTATTTTCAATTTCATTCTTCAATGCGTAGTCTGATTCTGGCCTAAGTTGAATCGAGATTAAAGTTAATCTACATTGGAAATGGATATTATATAGTTGAGAACACTCGCTGTTATTGGTGTATTCTTCTAGATCACAGTATTCTTTTATCACAGTTCAAAATTACAAAAATACGCACTTTTGTTTAAATAAAAAAAGTTATGACGGAATTATTTGTAAACCCTGAATTTATATCCGAATTCAGTATTAAATAGGAATATTTCTTTTTCCATTGGAATGCATATAAAAATATTGTTCTATTTAAAGAAAGAATTACAAATATTTATGAACAAAAGTATTTATTTGATTTATGCTCTCACATATCAATTCATTTCAATCCAGCTCTAAAGCATGAACTCGGATAAATTAATTAAAATGAATATTGAATTGCAATTTTTAATTCATTTCAATCCACTTTTATTTACCGAGTATAATAATATTACTATAATTGATATTAATATATTGTCTTACAAAATATCGTTTATCCATGAGAAACTATTCCCTCCCAATTAGGGAACACGAATCAAGGCCACTTTTTCTATTTGCGTACCATCAAGTTCGGTGTTTTTCTATTCATTCCACCGGTTTCACGTGAATGTACAACTTGCTGAAACAAGGGCCAGCCCAAACCTATGTGTCTAGTTTTTTTGGTAGTGAAGCTCCGTAAGAAGAGGGGCGCCAAACCTACTACATGCATCCGCGCTTATATTTTACAACATGTCATGGATTAAATATACATATTTATACTACTTACAAAATGCATATCTTCTGGCCATAAATTATATTCTATATATTTATGAAATTTGTTAATAAGTTTTTAACAAATAAGGAACAATGGTTAAAACCTTCTAAAGGTCACTCAAAATCATGACCTTGACAATGTATGTAACGTCAAGATCAATGGAGATTGCCCTTCTCCTTTTTTTCTTCAGTTTTTATACATATATGTTAGGTACACGTAAATATACAATGACTCATAAGGCAGGTTCGAATATTCTTATAATACTGATATGCTTATAAATATAACAAAATTGTAAAGTCCAGAATTTTTAATACTTTTTTTAAGTCTTCGTGTCGATAGCACTAGTGTTATCATATTATCACATATTTCGTTACTCGTCGTCATGAAGATAAGCGTACAGGTCTTATTATATTATTCGCTAGCTATGTGTTTCTCGGAAATTTCAACCAATATTCCTTAATCATTTCTGCGCCTTTCTCGGCTATCATAATTACTGGCGCGTTCGTATTTCCACTTACGAGGTTTGGCATGATTGAAGCATCAATCACGCGCAACCCAGTTATGCCATAGACTCTAAGCTGAGGATCTACGACAGCCTCGGGATCCCAATAAGGACCCATTTTGCATGAACCGACGGGATGGTAGATGGTGGAACTGTAGTACCTGATCATGCATTCCCAGTAAGGATCAGTATACATGGGTATATGTTTGCATCCTGGAAACTGATGCGAGTTGAGCTCGCTTCCAAATCGCTTAAAGGCGTTGGTCCTGCTCAGGGCCACACTGATCTTCACTCCCTCTACTAATGTGGCGATGTCTTCCGCTTCCTTGAAGTAATTCGGATAAATGAGAGGATAATCAAATGGATTTTTACTGCGCAACTTGATTACACCGCGACTTTTTGGTCGTAGCAACATAGGAAGTACACTCCATGTGTCCTTGTTGTTGATCGGTCTGAAAACGGCGTCATAGAACTTCTTTGTTAGTCCATGGATTTTCCTCAGTTGTCTGCCGCCATCCGAATTCGTCGAACCGGAAATGAAATGCAACTCAATGTCGGGAAAGTCTAGCGAAGCGTTTGCATATTTGGTGTTAACAAAGGCGATGCCCTCAACACCTCCAAGCACCGTCAGAGGTCCACTGCCTAGTACAGCGTATTCCATCAATATCTGGATGTTTTGAACCCGTTTTTCCACTATAGAAACCTCTTGATTAACCATGAATGTAAGTCCACCCAAGCCAACATGATCCTGCAAATTGCTACCTACCTAAAGACACGGGGAATAAATCATATGGATTAAATAAAATGAAGATTGCTCGAAAATTCGACTGATTTATAAAGTTATTTTTATCTAATCTAATATGACATACATAACTTTAAACGATAAAAATGTGACCTCGAGAGAAAGAGAGAAAGAAATTGAAGAAATTTTGCATGAAAAAATTAAAACAGTAACCTTGCTATCTTGAATCACGGGAATACCGAGCTCTCGCAAATGTTCCTTCGGCCCGATTCCTGATAGCATAAGTAGCTGCGGCGAATTTATAGTCCCGCCAGATACAATCACTTCCTTCTTTGCGCGCACACGAAAAACCTTCTCGTTCCTGACGAATTCTACCCCGTAGGTATACTTTGTTTTGGGGTGCACCAACACTTTAGTAGCGTGCGCGTGCATTGCTATGTGCAGATTCTTCCTGAGTCTGACTGGCCTAAGAAAAGCCTTTGCACTGGAGCAGCGACTGCCACGTCTAATAGTGCCCTGAGCGATCATAAAGCCGGTTTGAAATTCGCCATTAATATCGCGATTTTCGTATCCCATTTCTTGACCAGCCTCGACGAAGGCCGTCGCTAAGGGTGTGTGCCACGGTGCCTCCTGCACCGTCAAATATCCGCCGCTCGCGTGATACGGTGTGTGAACCAAGTAAGGATTCTGATTATCCTCAGATTTCTTAAAGTAATGCAGGACATCACGCCAACTCCAGCCAGGATTACCCTGCTGCTCCCAAATGTCGTAATCTCGTTTGTTGCCTCTTAAATAGAGCATATAATTAAGCACGCTGCTTCCGCCCAGAACCTTACCTCGAGGCCAATTGCAACGGCCGTTCTCCATTGCTACAAATATTTAATAACGTAAAAAAGAAATATGATAGAGAGAAACTGAGACACTGTTTGAATGTTTTAAACTTAAAGGGAGGGTGAAAGAATAATGGAAAAAACATAATACCTAGGCAAGAATCACCATGTGGCTCAGTCTTATATTGCCAATCCAGCTGACTCAGTTGAAGATATCCGGCGAAAAGAGGTACATCCGAGATCTCAGGTTCGTCACCGCCTGCTTCTAGCAACAACACGTTCCAATCTTCAATTTCAGATAGACGGCTGGCAATTACAGCTCCTGATGCAAAAAGAAAAAGAAGGAAATGATAGAAAAAAGTGTATTTGTCTTTGTATTACGCTCTTATAAAATATTGCGCTCGTGTTTCAAAATAACGAGAGTTTCGAACACGTACACGTACCTGCACTACCACCGCCTATCACTATAAAGTGATACGAAGGTAATAGCATCTCTGACGGCACGTTGATTGGTGGTGCTTCATTATCCAGAACTTTATAATGAAAATAGGCAAGTGTCGCAGCAAGAATCGGAAAGAAGAATGAAAATCCATTAGTTGATGCTGAAGTCAAACCTCCTGTCAGAAAGCTTTCGATGCCCATTTTGTTTTCTCACGGTGCTTCTTAGTGAAGAACTAAAAATAATGACTAAAGCTAGGAATTATATATACGTAAAAACAAATATATTATATACACATATTATATGCATAAGATATGCATAAAAATATGCAAAAATATGCAATATATATATTTATTAAATGAAAAGCAGAAAGAAATAATTGTAAAAATATAATAAAAAAACTAGTATATAATAAAATAAAAAATAATATAATAAAAATATAGTAATATAATATAGTAATATATTATAGTAATATAATAAAAAATATAGTAAAAATAAACAAATTAATTTAAAAAAAAATGATTAACTTTGAGCAAAAAATATAATATATAAAACATTATTAACACAAAATGACATAATTTGAATTGACAAAATTAGGTCTTAAATATTTAATTTCTCAAATAATTGTAAATACTAATGACTATATGAGCAAATACACAATTTTATAAAAAATATGCTCAAAAAGATACATATATACAAAATATACAATAAATAAAAGTAGACTTTAATATTTTGCTTTTACATAATCCGTGTAGATATGCAAGCCGTTTTGTATTCATATTAATAATATAAAATATGCATTTATAATCTCAGATTATATTCATATAATCTCAGTTTTAGTTATGACACGGGAAAATTTACAAATGTGTATTAATATTCATTGTGCAGGATTTATTTTCTTATTATACTACTAAACTTATTATACTACTATATACTAAATTAAGAAATACAGTAAATATATCAAAATATACTAAATAAAAAACAGGTATACATGCACACAATGAATAATAAAATTTCTCTAATTTCTGTAGAATTAAAAAAATTAACAGCGATTTCAAAGATTATTTTCAAAATAGAATGAAAGATGGTAAATATTTGTTATTATTTTATAAAATATAATAAATATATTAAATAATATCGTAACGATAAAATGATGTAACTTAGACTATAAAAATAAACTTACTATTTCCGTAATTACGTAAATGTGACTCTTTAATTTGTACTCTCTCTCTCTCTCTCTCTTTCTCTCTCTCTCTCTCTCTCTCTCTCTCTCTCTCTCAGTCTCTCTCTAAAGATGCTTTATCAAAAATATTTCCAATTGTCACGTAGTAGCATTACAACTTTCTCAAAGATTGTTTTTTCATATAATGCGAATATAAATAATAGTGTTATTTATTCTCTTTTTTTTCGATTAAAACAATTGAGAAAATTTATCTAAAAAACATCTAATCGAATCAAACCAACGTAATATATTGTTAAAATAAATTGGCAACATTACATTAAAAATAAAGAAGAGAAAGTCATGTCTGAGCAATCTGATAGCGCAAAATGAATATCAATTACTCGTGAAATTTCAAATCTATGAGTCATTTCAAGTGAATGTGTACGCATTTGCATTATTCATAATTATTTCATGTTCTTTAACTCGCTATTTGTTAACAATTTTATTTGTTTAACAGATTGTTGTGTAAGAAATCACAACAAGATACGTTTTGCGCAAAGTGTGATGATAATGCATTCCTTCATTGATTTTTAATCATATTATGACGGCGATATTAACTAAACAAATTAATGTAGCCTTTACGTCATATGGAAAGTTTGTAAATAAAATGTACATTTATTTTAAAAGTCTGTTTTTCTTCTGGAAATTGCAACGACACACGTGACTCTTATAATATAAACTTTTGTTTTAATACGTATTTTTCTTTTGCCAACGTACTAGAAGTTTGATGAAATTAGAGAGAGAGAGAGAGAGAGAGAGAGAGAGAGAGAGAGAGAGAGAGAGAGAGATGAGAAAATTCAGAGACCGAATTATAAGTAAAGATGAGAAAATCGCGGAAATGTGAAGCATTGCTTGTATTAACACAAAACAAAGGAATTGACACAAGCTAAACGCTTCGAAAAGGAAAACTGTACTGGTTTAATTGCCTACTTTCTGAAAAATAGCAGAAAACGTATACGTTCTAGAAGTTTCCAATATCTTGAAATATTTACACGTTTCAAAAGTTTTAATCCCAGTAAACGAGAATAAATTGAAATGAATAAAAATGAATTCATTTCCGAATTTGTGCTTCTGATTTTTCAAATTCATTTTTGAATCCATGAACACATCTGAATTCAACATGATGAATAGCTCTTGTATTTCTATTCGAGTTCAAAAACACTTATGTTGTAAATAAGTTAGCTATAAATACATCCCAGTTCAAAATTATAAAAATACACATTTTTATTTAAATAAAAAAAGTTATAACAGAAATAGGTCCTGAATTTATATCAGAGTATAGTATTGAATAGGAATATTCCTATTTTGATTGAAATGAATAAAAATACTGTTATAAAGAAGGAAATATAAATGTTATTGTAAAATCAAAAGAATATTTATAAGAAATTTATTTTCAAGTCGTTTTACTTTCTATCTCCATTTCATGAACAGAAACGAATGCCGTCAGATATCAATTTATACATATTTTAATTCATTTCAATCCATTCCCAAACAGCAAAGCAAGGCATCTTAACCAAAGTCAGTTTGCCCTAATTAAGTGAAAAATTACCAATTTTCGACATAAAAAAATGTCTTAAAAATCAAATATCGTTTGAAGTCTTGTGTACAGAGATCGAAAATTACGAAGTTTTTTAAACCTACGAAATGTCTTTAAAGTTCAGTAATTTTATAGATTAGCTTATAAGTGACCAAATTTTTATCAAACGTGTGTCTTCAAAGTTGATTCAACTTATAAGTCAAAATTAGATCCCGTTTGAAGGAAATGTGACCTGGTTATATTACTTAATTTCAACCTCGCAGGCGATATGACTTAATTGGTCAGAATTACCTAATTTTTGCCATATATACATAGTCCTTTGTGTTTAACTTGACTAATAAGGGAATATTTAAGGCGCGAAATAAACTTCGCGGCTGTGCTGAAAGCTAACTACAAAGTTAAGATTACCACGGAAAATGACTTATAAGGAAAAGTGTCCAAGATTAGCTCGAAATGCCCAGCAAAATTGCTCTGAAAGTTAATTATTGGTTTTGGACCTTATTGAAAGTTGCCATTTGTAGTTGTTGTGTTAAATCCTGTTTGCTGCGCAAATTTTATAAGATTTTCGTCACATTAGCTATTTTTTACTCGATATTTCTTTGCCAAAGAATGAAAAATCGCTTGGTAAAGCAGGACGTGTTTTTCTCTTTGTGCTGAGTATTGTCATTTCTAAAATTTTTAAAAGCGTGACCGGTTTTAACTATGCATTGTAAGCTGAGTTTATTCCGTGACCAGAGATAGTTTAACACAATCAATCATTTATATTCGCGATGTCACAGGCATTTCTTGATATGTTTCTATATATTTCTTGATATCAATCTAGCGATCTCTTCTTCGCCTTTAATTGTAATCTCGCAGCCGAACTGACTGGACTTGGCCATTGATGAATATTTCTTCGAAATGTGAATTAAGGTAAATTAAACTTCGGATAATATAATGCAATGGTATTGTCGAAGCTGGCAATGCTTTTTAAAAAAATATATTCGAGGTGATGCAACACCCGAGACGAGAGAGAACACATCCGCTCGAATGGTCTCACGAGATTATCCAGCGATCTTGACTAAGTCAATTTAATTTATAAATAAGGAAATTGGACTTAATCAGATGCCTTATTAATCGAGATTTATAAAATGCCCTCAAAGTCAACGATTTGGAAATAAAAATGCTTTGATTAAGGAAATTTGCCCTCAAAATTAGGCATTTGGCCTTCACAATAAGGAAATTCGACCTACAAGTCGAAATTTAGACGAAAATGTTAAGTCAGCCATCATTACGAGAACTGTTCTGTCCGCCATAATTAAAACGCTTTCCAAAATTATGCATTGTAAAATAAATTATACTGTATCTCTCAGAATAATTAAAAATTAAAAAATAATATCTATTTCATGTTACTTTTAACGTAGGTGCAAGATAAAAATATTTTTGTTGTATTAAGTGTAAAATATATTATTGTTAAATAATTAACCATTAATTAATAATTGTTTCAATTATTTATTTTTGAAGGCGCGTTAGTTTAGTGAAGTAAAATATAAATCTGTACATAAAATTTTCTTTCGCACTTATATTTCTGTCATCATATCATACGATATTCAATTTCAAATTCGACGTGGAGATGGGACTGTTAATATTTTATTTCGAATTTCTATTTGTTTGGAACTTTGGGGTCGATTCTGTATTTTCAAACAAGGTGAAAATTACAAAAGTGAGCGAATTTACTAGAATACTGATAATTTCATTGATCAACATCTAATAAATTTGCTAAGTAACTTTTGTAATTTTCACCTTGTTTGAAAATACAGAATCGACCCCCTTATCAAGCATGTTATGGGGTAGCATGGCTACTCATCTAGGTAGAATTAAAATGGATGTGCAGCGCTGCCATCTCTAGATATCTCGACGAGCTGAATTGCCAAAAGGAGAGAAGGCACAAGTTAGTTAGAATTAAATCAAAATTATCAAAATATTACCGATATTCGACTTTCTGCTAGGTTTATTTGATCAAATCCGACTATGACTTACAGGACGAAGTGTCTTCCATTACCTAATTTCGACTGTAAAATTACTTCAACTTTATTCCCCACTTACTTTCTTTCAACGTCGATTTGACATAAATTGGACTTGGTCGAACAGATTTTATAACTTATCAGAAGATCGAATAGACGTAATTTCGCCCTACTTTGCTGTTTGGGTTCTCGTTTACTGAGATGACATTTCTTCATAATTTAGCGAGATATTTTAATGTGAAAAACAGCACGTTTAATATACTTATGAAAAGTATAAAATATTTATGACTTGTATTTTTATAATCGATTCTTATATTTAAGACTATTTTAAATACAATTTTAAGATATCATCAACCACAAAACTGTATTAGCATCTAAAATATTACTTAAGGGCCGATTTCACCATTTCCAATTAATTTGATCGGCCAATTATTCTTGGAATTAACTAATTGCATTTGTTTTCAAATAGAATTCATCATAGTAGATACTTAATCGATTGATCAAGTTAGTCGGAGTAAAATTGGCCCTAAGGCGATTTTGAAATAAGTATCGATTATGAATATCGTCCTTATAAATATAACAATCTATATAATAATTATTTTTTTACCATCTCTACTTATTAATAATCCTTGTAAAAAATATGGAATCGTAACAATGGAAATATTGCAAGTTATTATAATTTTAATATTTTAAATCCGCATTTTGAACTTCTCATTGTTATAAACTAGAATTTTATCAGAATACGAGCTACTTTTCTTTTTCTAAAGAAGCTTATGTTATATATATAAATGATTTTAACGTACACAGAT